CCCTCAACATTGAGGCAGCGTGAAAGGATCTTTCTTCCCTTTTCCGGACTTCTTTCCTTCTTGTCTCCCATCTAAACATCATCACACGGCATTTTCCTAGCTATCTGAATGGTTTCTGCTGATACAGTATCGATTTCACAACATCTGCTATTGTCATCCCGCTTTGGTTTGGGCCTGGCCTTGGCCATGAGTTTGGCAGGCCAGATTTTATACTAGACCATTTTGAGAAAACTTTGAGAAATATATAACGTACAACGGTGGTAAAATCATTGCTATAATATAGGTATAAGTTATACCACAGTTTACCCGCTCCGGGTGTGAGGGAGGGGTGTGGGGCAATGAGTGCACTGACGTGGCGCCCTCGGAAGGCCGGTATCTATGGGATTAAAGCTCAGCGACACTAAGGGCTTGTCTGATGCATTCGGTTATCGGTAGCACCCTCAGAATCACCGGCGTATAGGGCCCTCAGAACCGCCGGTAAGGGGCCTTTAGAGGCATTGGTATGGGCCGCCATGCAGGTGCTGGTTCGGGCGCACAGAGGTGCTAGTGTGATTCTCTCAGAGGCGCCGGTGAGGGTCCTTACAGGCGTTGCTCTGGGATCTCATAGACGCTGGTGTGGAGCCGTTACAGACGGGTGTGGGGTCTTTAGAGCTCCTGACGCGAACCCTCTACAAACCAACAGGGGGTTCTCAGTGACCGGCACGGGGCCCCTAGGCCGGCAGAAGAAGTCGTGTGGGGTCCTTAGAGACCGGCATGGTACTGTCAGACGCCGGTGGGGCCCTCAGGGCTCAGAGTCACCGGTGTGGGGCCCTCAAAAGTTTCCAGTGGGTGGCCTTTAGATGCGCAGGTGTTGACTGTTGGGTCCTTAGAGCCGCCGATATAGGGCTTTAAAAAGCACTGGTATAGGCACTCAGAGTTGGGGGTGTGAAACGCTCAGAGACACCGGTGTGGGCACTCATAGGCGCCGATGAGGGCCCCCACAGTTGCCGTTATGGGACCCTCGGAAAAATAAGTGTGTGACCATCACAGGCGGGAAATGCCCCTAGAACTGGCCCCTCATAGGCCGGTAAGAACTCTCAGAGGCCAGTAACGGGCCTTTGGAGACCACCGAGGGGCCCTTAAAATCTGCAAGATTCCCTCAGAAGCCGGCGTGGGGCCCTTGTTGAGATTTATAGTTTGGTTATTTAGGGCCCATAAGGTGCTCTAACGAGACCTATGAGGCCATTCTGAGTCGAAATATGGACATCGTTAACCCTCGGCGGTCAAATGGCACCGCAGGTCCCCTCGGACCCGAGGGTCCCTTTCAACCCGATGGGTGGGGGGGTGGGGTGGGGGGGGGGGTACGTGTCCCCTTAGACCCCTAACTACGCCACTGCTTCATATGCATCATGTCAGGCATTTTAGGCTCGCCCCCCCAACTTGAAAGTCGTTCCCGGGTCCCTGCTTTCGTGAGTTCTGATTGAACTGGATCAGGAAGCCAGGACGAGCTATAGGAAGTCGATCAGACCTATAGGTAAGTTGGATGGTAGTGATTTATTTTTGTTGTGTTGTGTCACTGAAATGTGGTGATGCGTTGTAACGCCCAGAGTTCGAAATTTGAAAGGTCAGTTTCTTTCTAACACTCTAGCCTCATTTTCATTTTTAGGTCTAAAAAGGTGATGAGAAAACGTCAAAAAGTACCTTCTGTTTCAAGATTAGGTACTTGAAAAAAAAATCGTGACAGCTAGACATCGCGTAGGTGACAGCTTTTGAGTTTTATTCACCTCTGTTGACCTTTAAGGTCAAATATTTTTAATAAGGTATATATTAGGGAACTCGAGATTCTGACCCTAGCTATCGAATGCGACCATCAGAAATCGGATCGGACGATTGGTGTAGAAAAAATAGGGGGACTCAAAATTTCAATCCGTGATTTGACCTTTAAGGTCAAATATTTTTAATAAGGTATATATTACGGAACTCGAGATTCTGACCCTAGCTATCGAATGCGACCATCAGAAATTGGATCGGACGATCGGTGTAGAAAAAATAGGGGGACTCAAAATTTCAATCCGTGATTTGACCTTTAAGGTCAAATATTTTTAATAAGGTATATATTAGGGAACTCGAGATTCTGACCCTAGCTTTCGAATGCGACCTTCAGAAATCGGATCGGACGATCGGTGTAGGAAAAATCGGGGACTCAATTTCAATCCGTGATTTGACCTTGAAGATGACCTTGAAATTTGAAATGAATACGATATTCGGAATCAGCGTCCCAAACTGCATCGGCTAGGTTGGGTTTAGTTGAAATTCGGACTCGACGCTGAATCCGTCGCGGAATACGACGCTAACTTCACGCACGTCGATGTGGAAGGATTTTAGGGCAACAGCCGGACAGGAATTCGCAGGAATTTGATGACAATCGGCTGAAAATGTCAACGACTCTGCTTTCAACAAAAGAATGATAAATTTGAAAATAGGATATTGGGAAGGGGCACACTGGGCGAGATATAGGTAGGGAGCATCATCATCGGAGGATCGGAGAATGATCGAAGTTAACAAGGCATAAAAGGCAAATAAGCCTTCCACAGCGAGCAGCGAGCGCCTATATCCGAAACGTCATGGCAAATATCGGTCGTCTTTGACCTGACTCCAAGCGCCACAGTGCTTGACGTGTTTTCCGAAGCTCTAGGTAAACAAGGGTCGAACCGGCGAGGTGGGGTCGAGGTCCACCAAGCATTGATTCGAGTTGAAATACTTTACAATTCACAACCAACCTTTTGCAGAATGTAGGCATCATATTGGGGATAACCGAAGTTATATGATAGGGGAGAGTGGGGCAAAGCGGCCAGTGGCCACCCTAACGTTTCTCACGATGCCAACGCTTGATTTTTAAACTTGGAAAGATTCTTTCTATACCAATGTGATCCCTAGTAAGTTGCCTTTTATTTCAACTGCGTTTTATTTCCAAAGGCGTTCACATATGAAAGATATTGACAAAACTTTAAACCTATGCATATTGGCCACTTTGCCCCATACCCTGGGGCAAAGCGGCCACCGGCGTCTTCTCAAGTCCCGATATGAGAAACAAAATAGTTGCCTCGTGTACGACTAGTGTATTTGATGGTGACAAGGTTAATCGAGGATGGATGTTTACTTTATCATCTTCCACCTGTAGGTAAACAAAGAAAGGATTTTCATGAAAATAAACATTTAATTGCATTATTTGGTAACTCATGCAACTGAAAAGTGGCCAAGATGAATGCATGACGACACATTTCAATATAAATAATGTTTTTTTATCCAGATGGAAGCAACTTATGGCCAATTGGGGGTGGCCACTTTGCTCCGGCCACTTTGCCCCGCGCATACCGTCCGAGACAAAAATATTCCAGCTTAGCTATTAGTGGGGTAAAAAACATTAAAATTGGTAGAATACATGTATGTACGATAACCATGCAATGCATGGACAAGAACGCTTATAAAAATTCCAAAACGGTTATGGAATAACATAACATTTAGAAATTGTAAACATAGTTGGTAACCTGGCAAGAAATGCTTTTCCGTGTTTCACAGAACAATGGTGATGGGCCTGAAACCCCGGTCTGGCTCATTCGAACGACCGTGAAGAGAAGTATAATTGGAAACCATAAATTGGAACTGACGCCAGCTATGAAGGGCTAAAACGATGGGTGGCCGCTTTGCCCCACTCTCCCCTACCTACATTCTGCACATATGATACATATATGATACATATAAGTCATAACCGAAGTCGCTCTGTAAAATGTTCCCGGGCTGGCACTTCAGGGTCGCCTGACTCGACGGGTTCCCAGCGCCACCTCTCAGCCGTCCCGGTACGGCGGTGCGTAACGGAAGAGGGCGCTAGCAGCCCAGGTCGGCCGTGCTAGTTAGTCCCCACGGCACCGGGCACACTGCATATTGCACATACAGTATCAAGGCGTGTGTGGCCATCCAACGTGTAATTCAAGCCCAAGCCTCTTACAGACAGGCTAAAGTCATCATCTCGAGCCCAAAGTAAGGCGATCAGATGCCCGTTTCGGGGCTGCGAAAACTTTCGTAAACGTTAATGAAAATTGAGATGGCAATGGGAGCGTTGCTCGTTAGCAAGTAATCTTGCACAGCTCGCATGCGTTTTTCATACTGCAGCCTGCGTAGTGCGTTGTGTGTGCGTAATAAGCGTTTCTGTAGAAGTGCCTGCTCACGCTATAAAGGTCAGCATTCTACGCGTTTGTGCCTATAACCCGTTTGCCACTATCATAGGTAATCGAATCGCACGTCGCATAAACTAAAAACTTCACTGGAAAATGACTTTTCAGAAATTCCCGGCATCCGCTTCTAAACCTATAAGTCATAATAACAACGGATCAAACGAAAGCTTAAGATCCGTGACATACATTCAATGTATAATGATCCAACCAAAACTAATCAGACTTAACACCACTAAGAAGCCAATAATGACGCACGCTGAACGGAATAATCTGCAATAAATCGTAAAAGTTCAAAGGACGATTGTATCATCAGAACTACATTCGATGTGCAGGTTGCAGCGTATATTCGTGACAAACGCAGTAAAAAGGTCGCTATTACAACTGATTTAATGCCGCTCTTCAAGACACGATATGTGTGACTCGGCTGAACTGAGAAGCAGATTCATCCATATTCCATAATATTCCCTACCGACGTAACTGGGATTTTATAGCTGAAAGGAAACACAGGTGAGCCCACTCTGGTCACGACACGATTGCATCATTCAAGCACTGTAGCTTATTGCACACTTTATTTTGACCAACAAAACATAAAATCTTAGTTCAAAATGAATAACTCTTTACCGTGGGCTTTGCTCTCGCGTTGTACGCTCACGTTTTATGTAAAGCCACATCTCGTGATCCAAACTAGTGCATTTAAAACATCTATCATTGCATCTACCACCCGCGTTCAATTTCTACCAATCCCCCTCCCTTCCACTCCGCCTCACTCCCCGCCCACCGGACCACTCCTCAGAACCTGACGGGACTGCGGCGGCCGGCCGGCGCGCCGACCAGCGGGTCCACCACGTGAGCCGTGAACAGGGGCAGGCCCAGCTCCACGTGCATTACAGAGGCAACGAACGGCCGGTCGAGCTGCAGCACGGCGCGCGGCGTGCTCTCGTCAGAGCCCGCTCGCGGGATGATGCTGATACCGGCCGCTCCAGCGGCGCGCGTACCCTTCTCGTCGACATCGATGACGGCCCGGTGCACGAGCTGGTCCACCTTGTCGGCACCGTTGGGCCCCAGGCCGCCCTCCAGCATCGGGCCCAGGCCGAGCGACAGGGCCACGTCGCGGTAGTCGTGCTTGACGGACTTGATGGAGAACTTGGGGAAGGTGAGAAGCACCTGGGTCTCGAGCGGCGATATCTCCGCCAGCGCCTCGTAGTGCCGCCGGGAGAGCTTGCTCACGACGTCCTCACTCCGGTTCGCTGCCACAAAGAAGAACATCTCCATGTGGAACGCGTTGTCGTTGTACGGCACGGCCACGCCGTACAGGCCGTCGTCGCTGGCGTTCAAAAACCGCATCGAGCCGGAGACGAGCACGGCGGGCACGGCCTGCTCGCCGGCCGGCCGGCGGAATGGCAGCTCCTTGGTGGAGATGGTGAGCTCGGGCAGCCAGGGACTGGAGAAGGCCAGAGCAGCGGCCAGCACCAGGCGCGAGTCCGGATCCAGGTGGGTAAACAGGTCCGAAATCAGACCGTCCGTGGCCGCCGACACGTCAGAGTTGATCTGCCGCACCGCCTCGGCGGCGCCCAGGTCCAGCTCCCGGCCGGTGGGAGGGGACAGCAGCTGCAGCAGCCGCGCGCACAGCTGCTGCTTGGACACAGAGGTCACCTGCGGCTTCGAGCACTCGGTGCGCACGCGAGGTATGCTGTACGCCCGGAAGAAGCTCTTCACGGAGGACTTCTCAGCAGCCTGTGGGAAGGGAAAGAGGTGAGACGGAGCCGAATTTACGATCTGCTGAAAATCTGCGTTCTGCTAAAATGTCGGCAATGAGACTGCATTGTATGATAACTTGATCATATCAATCGCATACATTGTTTCAGGCAGCCGAACAGCTGTCATCGCACCAAACAAGAAAGGCAATGACATGACGGTTTTTAATAGCATAAATGCCTTAAAATGCTGCAGCACAAATAGCACGTTTATAGCAGACTTCAACTCCTTTACACTGACACGACCATACTGCGATTCAGAGTGCGCCCCTCCCACACCACCCCACACACTGCCTACTCACCATTTGGTCGATGGCCTGGCTGAGCTGGGCCGGGTTGGCGGTGCCCAGCTGCCTCTGAATCAGACTCTGGATCTCCGTGTTGGCCGCGCGGTGGGCGCCGGCAATCACGTTAAACAGCGCCGCCGGACACACCACCTCGTTCTGCTGGCCCGAGAGCACCTCCTGAGGGGAGAGAGGACAGATCAGGTCAGGTCAGGTGCCGCCGGCACACCACCTCGTTCTTCTGGCCAGAGAGCACCTCCTGTGGTGACACAGAGAAAGGTCCGGTCAGGTCAGATCAGGTACCGCCGGAAAAACCACACCAGACGGTGAGGTTTGTGATGGTATGATGCAAGGTTCGATAAAGAGTATATAATGACGACTCGTGAGCCATGAGCGGTGTGTATATTCTATTAAAGCACACCCCTCTAGCTACGTTGCTTTCGGGACTATATAAAGGACAGTTGTCTACATTCCACTGCGTTCACGTGCCATCGTACCAAGGGAATTGTTACATAAGAACCCAAATTGGTACCGCAAAGCATTTTCAGCCTGGATAGCTAGCTTTGCAGTGCCGCGATACTGACGATTTGTACCACCGATATGCGGCTGTCGCCAGCGTTCTGCCCATCGGGCCATACTTGAAGCGTGCTCGTTATGGATCGTAACGCCGAAAACTTTGCACTTTGCTTGGTAAACGGTACGGCTTAACTCTTTGGAAGACTTAACATGACACCATCGCTTCCCATGTCACCGGAAAAGAATGCTTTCTGACCAGTGACCACTCCTGTCTTATGCTTTGAAAAATGCATAATAGTTCACAATGCATCGCACATATGCGGTTGCATTCAAAACCATATACTCCAAAGTCCAAACTATCTAATTCCAGGGGAGAGGGGGGGGGGCACCTTTACAAGGTCCTATCAACCTATCAGCTAACCTCCGCGACCCGACATATTACATGTTTTTGACCGCACATTGCTATTCTAAACGAATGTTCCTCTTTCCCAGCGGATAGCTTTTGCTAGTAAGATGCTCATTCTTCAATCGAGGATCAATCGCGCTCATGCATTTATCTCAAATCACGAGGACTCAAAATAGGCGGTCACGAAACCTTTCGTGAAATGCTCAGGACTCCAGAAGTAGGTACGCAACTCGCAATGAAAAGGTTCGGCGACGGCCCTCGACGTTGCGCGAGAGCTGACAGATGCGCGCAGCAGCAGCCGGAGGCGACCGGAGGCTGCAGGCTGGCTATATGGGGATGGACCTTTCACCGAATAAATCTGAGGCGAATCTAGTATACGGGATGGGCGCAGCTGCGAGCCAGGAACGGTTGCTCGGCACTCCAGAGACTGGCGTTCAAAGCTCCTATGCAGATTTACGGGTCGGGGGCTGGCTCATAGCTTCTATGCAGATTTACGGGCCGAGGGCTGGCTCATAGCTCCAGAGCAGTGAGACGGTGACCCAAAGCTCTACTGCAGAGAGACCGACCGGCGCGGCGGCTGGCAGCTAACGGTACCCGTATGGCCGTTACGGCGCATACACCTCATTACCGCAGTGGCGAGCCGGCGCCGACCTGACCCGGCTCCAAGGCGCAGCGCATGAGATCGTATCCAGGAGAGCGGCGCCCACTGCTGGCTCTCCAGCTCTGACAGCGGCGGCTCTGAGGTGACACCCACGGCTGATGGGCCGATAGGCCCGCCGCGGCCGCCGGCAGCGCTCAGGACAGTGACCGGCGTCGCCACAGGCCCGGTCAACTGCACGACAAACCGGTACAGACATTCACTGCTCCGTCCGGCGGCTGTCCGTCCAAGGCCGACCGCCGAGATGGCCAGGAGAGGCGGCAGAGGTGTCGTCGAACCCCGGAGACCTTTCAGTTGCAGTGTGTCCCAAGGGCAATCCAGTCCGTTCTGATCACTTGTTCATAATATGTTTGGGAGAAACAAAGCTAGACATTTCTAAATACCTTTGTGCATCGGAGCTGCACCAGCGGCGTCAAACTCCTAGAACATCTTACGTCCTTTCATATGCAGATGATATGAACAGATTATCTGGACACGATTTCTCACCCAGATTCGTAGAACTGCACTGACTCATCCCGAGACACTTCCGCGTTGAGTCCGGTAAGACGCAGGTCGGGCTAACGCCTGGGTCACCGCACTCTGATCCGAGCAGTGCTCAGACCGGTTCGGCTCAGCCTGAGCCTCAGTGCCATAAGTCACGACTTCTCGACCCAGTCTCAGCGGTAGCTAGACCTGGGGTTACACACCGAAGCGATGGCACTGTGCGGCGGCGACCACCGCACTATCCACTCAGATCAGATCAGCAGGCGTTACGACGGTGGAGTTATAATCCAAGGCTGTCCAGCGCCATCCGAACGGCAGGGAGACAGAAGCTAAACTCTGTCCAAAATCCAGCCGGTAGATTGGGCCTGGCCGAAACCAGCATTGGCCGTAACGGCGGTGGTTAGATTCCGTGGATCGCAATTTACGGAGATCCCGACGTCAAACCAATGCACTGAGGGAGACAGGCCGTGCAGCAGCGAATGACAAAAGTCAAAGAAGGGCATAGTTGTGGACTGTGGTAAATGTTATTATCGGTGGGCTTCAGAGACTCCTGTGCTGCTTTTTCAGCGGTGAGCCATCACCAAAGGGATAGCTGACATATTTGGCGACCAGAGCGACATTCGAAAACCACAGCAGAGGCGGACACACTGGGCAGTAGCAGAATCAACAAAACACCAGCGTGCAGCAAGAAATGTCGCGTCTCGGGATCCGGGACGGGAACCATCGATAAATAATGCTGTCGGTGTCCCCGCCCACACACTATGCTTGAAGGGAAGTATTTGCAGCGACCGGGGGTCACGCACCGAGCTCATGCACCGCAATACTGACACCGAAACATAATTCGAAGCGTCCAGACCAACATCGGCAAAACATCGGCAGCCGGCGAGCGTGACAACACGACACGCTCACCGGGCCAACAAAAGAAGCGGGCCAGGGTCACGGTCACGGTCAGACGGAGAGGCCATCAGCTGATCGGAGACGGCTCGCCTAAAAACGAGACGAGCGAGTGATAAATAGGCCCGAGCCCGAAGCATTACAAGCACTTCTAACTTAGATTCAAGTGAGAAAAAAACTTGATTTTAGAAAGGAAAACGTGGTTAGCGTAATTTAGTTCAATCAACAGGCGAGGTTGGAAATGTGGGGATAACTATATAGTGGCATTTATATCATAATCTTACATTTGCTTCCAGAACCCATTCGTGCATGCCCGTGAGCACGTTCTTACCCTGAGGAGGTGGTCATTGAGATCGAGCAGCGGGCTCTCCTTCTCGATGACGAGGCCCGCGGCGGTCGCAGCCAGCAGCAGGAGCGCGGCTGTCAGAGGGAGAGGGTCGGCCGAGGTCAACTGGCCGCCGGCGGGGTCACAGACGGCGGGCACCCGACACCGGGCGGGCCGCAGGACAGGCGGCCGCACAGCCCGCGGCGCCCGCAGCGAAGGTCGGATTGCGCTAGGCGCACATTGCAAAATATTACACAGACCGGGGAGCAGCCGGGATTTGAGCAATCGTGCCGAAAGGACCACCGGTTCCTGACGAAATGGACTTCGGCCATGTGGTGTGACGTCATCGACGGAGACCATGTGCCGATGTCGTACTTTAACATGTGGTAGTTCATGCCGCAACCGAGATTAGGGAATGGACTTAATAATCAAACCAAAGGCATGCTACCGTACAAATTTAGGCTTCCTTTTATCAATGCTGCTGAAACCGATTGCATATCCAGGCTTCGAGCAGACGCACATTAAAAATGACGGTACGACCTCTTTTTTTCGGGAAATTTACGAAAGTGCACGATTGAGAAATGGATGAACACAGAATCGCCAACGAAAGCAGTTGAAGCAACAGTGACCACATAGAGGCGAGACACCCAACCGGTTCCAGCTCATAACTGAAGCTCAGCTTCGACCCTCCCCACTGACATCACAGGGCGATACAACAAAACGAACCAAACACAAACACCCAAATTAAGCTCACAACAAATTAAGCTCGCAGATCAGTCTGACCCCAAACACTCCCGTCCCATCCCCAAATCTCTCTCACCTGCTCTGAGATAGTGTCTCCCCGTTGTGTCCATGTCTGCAGCTGGCGCTCCTCTCACTATGGCGACCGGTACGCGACTGACTCCCGTCTGCTCCGACCGTCCGACCGACCGGCCTCCTCCCGGCGACCCAGACCGGGGCGCGGCGGCCGATCAGGTGCGCCGCGCGGTGCAGCCAACTTCTGGAGCCGACCCGCAGCTCCGACCGGTTTCGCAAGCTGCGACTGTCGCTCGCTGGCGACTCTGGCTCCGGGTCCAACTTCGGTGGGCGGTAGGAGGCGTGGGTGGTGGTTACTGGTTGAAGACTATTTTAGACTCGTTGAAGACAGGTTGGAAGTGGGTTAGCTAATCGTGTTCCAAGGAGGATGAATCTGGTTGAAGGCGCTTCAAAGCAGTTTCCGGCAGCTGAAGGAGGTGCTCGCCGCTGAACGCGGACTGGAAAACCAGCCGTGACCGGTCAGTGACCAGAAGGTCACAGTCGACCGATGACCAGTCAATGACCGATAGGTCAAGGCCACACCTGAGATCAGCCGATGACCAGTTACACCAGTGATCGCCCACTGAGGTCCACTTCCAAGGAGCGATCAGTAGGGTCGATTTTCCACGCAGGTACTGCGTCAATAAAATTCAGCCATCCATGACCCGACAAGCGCCGACCGCTCAGATGATGCACGCAAACAGGGCTCGGTGGGAAAACGAGCCACAATGGTGCAGCCCTGACATACACTAACGGTACAAAGGTAATGGCACGGCAATGAGCGGGATTGCGGTCGTCACGAGAGGGTTCCTTAGAGAGATGACGGGCTCGATACGGGCATCTTCTTACGTCACCTAACCTTCAGCCAGGGAAAAGGTGATCAATGATCATTGATCACTGTCCCAAAACCTGTCTGAGTTTGTCGTGAAATTGTTATCTTGTCTCACAATAAAACAATACTGACAAAGAAATAAGTTCGACGCACGGCACTAAGCGAGATAATTTGAGACCCAGACGCAAGGAAGATGAAACGGACAAAACCGCGCAATGAGCGAGACTTGGTGACCCACATCAACACAAATTTAGAGTGACCGCTTTCCGCCTTAACAATTTTACCAATTTTAAGGACAACTTGTAATTAGCATGGGATTCATGTTGGTTCCGTCTTTCAATAGTCGGATCAATTGTCAAGTCAAGCGACCCCCTTAACGTAATGTACCTGTCAGACATCTATTCCAGAACGTCAACTTCCCAGTGAACGACAAATATGTATCCTTAATTCTCTTGCTTCTCAAATGATCCCTGACGGTTTAATGTCGCATATCGCAACATGTGTAATTTACTTTTTAAACGGGAACTTCTACATGCGTTCACTGACAACGACCCCGCCCTAGAACGGTGCTATGCATTCATTCGACTTAGCAACATGCTAGTAAATGTACTAGGAATGGGATCTCGACCGTCTTCTCCGGAATACCATAGACCTCCAAATCCAGCTACGTAGCCTTTTAGGTCATGTCGGTATTTCCTTGGTTCTAATTTATGTACACATAAATTCTAAACATTTACAAGCAGGCATCACCATTGTTTTCATATTTCAAGATCACAAATAAGCTACCACGAAGGTCTTCACACTCGTTACGTGGCTACTGGGCTCGGGGCTTACGCCTCACGCGAGCAAAGCATTAGGATTGCACATTGTTTGCCCTCAAAATCCTAAAGTTTTACCCGATTGTGAAGTAGGTCAACGTCAGTAGGTCAAGTCCGAAGTCTTTGGAGCTCATTTTTCAGGCCACGGAGCTTCCGCGCATTAATCGGATTGGAAATGACCGTTGTGGTTTGTACTCCGAGAGATGAGAGGCGCGGAAAAATTAAGTCCCATATTGTTCCCGCTTCAATGTTATCTCAAGAAATCGGTTATCGGTGCCCTTGCCAATTTTCAGAAATAGAAGAAATTGCTAAAAACCTTGAGAAACGAGACGAGAAATGCATCAAGTTGAAGTTCAGAGTCGTGCCTGCTAACGCTTCATAATTCGGACAAATGAAAGAAATTCGCTGCATTTGCGTTCACAATATAATATACACAGGACAATTTTCAGACAAATGACTATGAGACGCAAAATACTGTTAAGATTTCTTTCACGTGATTCCATGCTTAAATTTCTCTGCCGCTTCGTGTATTCTTTACTTCTTCTTCTTTCCTTTACCGCTCTTCTCCGCGCTATGTCCCGCGCTCTTTTCCGCACTCTTCTTTTTCCCATCTTTCTCTTTCGCGCTCTTCTCCACCTTAGGCGCCTTGTAGCCCGGCGTTTTCCCAGTCGCTGTGAACACCAGCTCATCCAGCCTTTTGAAGAGCCTCAGCACGAGCTGTGCCTCATAGAGCGCCTCCTCTGTCGGAGTCAGCAGCACCTCCAGGGTTGCCGTCCGGTAGGGGCCGACCTCCAGCCGCTGCGCCGACACCGCCCACGCGGCCGCCAGCGCCGGCTGCGGCTCTGGCTCGCGCCGCCCGCTGCGCCGGTCCCCTCGCGCCGAGCCGGAGCCGCGTGACTTGACCTCCGGGTCAGCGGGCAGCAGCGGCGGCGCCGGCACCAGCTCGACGGCGAACTCGAGGGGAGCCTCGCACTCGTTCGTCACCTGAAACAGCACATAGTGAGGAGTGTGGCTACGACAGAGCGCCAAAGGCGAAAGGCAAAAAAAAAAAGCGAAGAAACAAAGTTAGAGGCAAGCTTGAAGATGATTGGTAGGTATGAGGGGCAAGACCACCATAAAAGACAAGGAGTCCGAAAATGAATGCCCAGGGTCCAAAACCATCAAAGTTAATCTGTTATACTACCCCAGCCTATCACTTGATGTGGATTAAGCTAGCCAAAGCTGGTGTAAATTACTGGACTCTCCTGATCATGAACAACAGACACATTAACCCGGCCACTTTCAATCACGACTTGAGTGCAAACTAAGGTCAACTCGGTGTTCTGGATCAGAACGAACACAAACAACAATAGGTGTCCCAGAACACGACAGCGGACAGATTTAAGCTAGAATCCAAAGAGCCTCTGAGAACTGATCATAAACACTCCTCGGGAAGCGGGATTACTGGGGCGATGCAAGACACGAAGGGTTCCGCGGGCCTGGCTGTAGGGGAAGGTATAGCCACGAAAGGCCGGAACAGCCGTTCCGTCAGGACAAACATGCCGTCAACGCTATTTACAGGAAACACTTCAGGCAGAAATTCCAAGGGCGAAGTTTATGAGAAATGCAAACAATCAGGCGACAGCAACAAGATCAACACAGCATCACAAACAAGATAATGACCACGACGACTGACGAGGCCTATTCCAGGTAAAACACATTGCAAGTTACATGGATTTGAAAAAAAAATGCGATCCCAAGGACACAAAATGATCGTACACGGTATTCTGCCAAACCACGTACTAGCTTTCGAACATCTTCATGAGACTGGCGCTCTATCATCGGATAAGGCTACTGTAAAAAATGTGTCGAGTGTCGAGGCCAGACAGCTCTGTGGCTTTGAGATTCAGATTCGACTGCGCTGGGGGCTTCTGGTAGGCTTCACAATACATTGTCGAAGAAGAAAAAACATCCAGTGAAACCAATGAACGCATGCTAGGCGGTGTAAGCACATCGGAATTCAAGATGCATCACCTCAACAAGACTGGCAGCTGACAGCTACCATAGTTGAACAGCCCATTGTCGACAGCAATAGCGACTACACACACGGCTTTCACCCACGAGCTATTCCCATTCTCCGTAACGTTTCTATATCGGCAAACTACGCCGGGAGTACGCCCACCAAACCAGTCAGACAGTACGACTAGAACGAGCTCGGCTCCCGGCTGCCTAATCCGTCACCAGACGGACTAATCCGTGCCGTCTTTCTCGTCAGCCGGCTGGCTTCTATCCCCACTCGTTCCTACTGGATAGTCCACGTGTGTGAACTGTGAACTGTGACGTCGCGGACCGGACTGTCGAGAAATACGGCGCAAAACCATTATCGGTACTATCGGCAAACGGTACAGGGACCAGCCTCGGTAAATTAAACTGAGGAGAAAGTGGGGAATACAACTTATCAAACAGCATCACTGGGGCCAATATTAATACCATGCCGAGGTCAGGGCGAGTAAAAATAGCAAACAGTTTTGACAGAACTTCACAGCATTGAAGAAAAGACAAATTGCACAAACATAATAATAGCAGACACTGCTATCATAGCAGTATCAGGACCATAATGAGCCTGTGCTCCTGTACCTTTGTATCTTAAAAAAGAAAGCCCATTTTGCCAAGGGATTGTGATACCAAGTTGTCAATCAATACAAATTTCACGAAAGCACCGCAGTGAGAGACATTTCATGCTGCTGCGGTAGGAAGGGTATGGTGGGTATCTCGGATTATTCGACCGAAACTAATTTGACGGAATGTTAAAAGCGGTGCTCCATTTCTTATTTAGCTAAAGGCCTATACGGTACCTGGGGGGGGGGGGGAGGTCGACAGTATTTGTTTTTGTTTTGTTGGGTTAGCCCTTTCGATCCATTGAGACCGTTGCAGAGCCAGAAGAAAGATAGAAATTAAGGGGAGACATTGGTCTGGGCGGGCACCCTCGTGAGTCACCGGGGCTGAGCCCGTTGAGGGACAGGTCGACCAGTTCCCCCCCCCCCCCCCTCAAGCACTCACTGCACCCGGCTACGGGTGTGCTCCTTTAGGAACTGCGGTGCGCTCCAATGGGAGCCGCCCGCATAGGATAAAGGTGCCTGTCCAGCCCGGACCGAGGGTTGCGGCGTGGGGGAGAATGATTTGTTTATCCTGAGGATGGAAACGACGGAAGGGGGGAGGCAGTATGGTGAAGATAGGGCGACAACAGCTTACCGTGATCTGCTTCTTGCTCGCTTTACCGAGCTTAGCCTTCCCCATGTTGATGATGCCATCTTCCGGAGTGAATGAGAACTCTTGTTTCACTCCACGACCGTAGAGGGCGTATCGCAAATTGGTGTTCCCTCCGGTAATGTTCCAAAACTCCAGCTCCTACCGCAAAGCGTCATCGTCAGTCTTGTCAGTTAACGCACTATTTTTGCATTAGCACCATCAGAACTCATTCATTCATCAGTCATTTAGAAAGAGATTAGAGTTACTATCACTAGACAAGGAAGAGAATGTGATTTAAAGTGAAGCACAGCCATTTCCATTCACGTCACAGTCCCCCTTCGCCCCCCCCCCCCCCTGACTGAACCCTATCTAGTCCCTATCTTACCTGACTGAGCCTCTCTGGCGTGTAGCAGACGCGCGCCACACTCCTCTCTCCCGGCGGCACCTCCCTCAGCGGTTCCACCAGTCTGAACGGTCCGTGCGGGTCCAGAGCCGAGGCGCGCGGCCGCAGCGGCCCCTCACCGGCGCCCTCCAGCGCCACCTCCAGGTAGGCGGGCGCGCGCAGAACGCGCGGACCAAAGTCGAGGCACAGAGACGAGGCGGGTACGAGGTGGGGCGCCGCCGTGGTGCAGACTACCTCCAGGTACAGTACGTCACAAGGCCTGGGGGATAGAAACTGGGTGTTAAGCGCAGTCATGATGTAGACAATTTCGAGATACAGAACGTCACATGGCCTGAAAGACGAGGACGGGTGTCAGAGCCGCGCCGCTGTGGTGCAGACTAGGACAGAGACTAAAATCGGGCCGGGGACCAGCCAATTGCTGATCATGTTCAGAAATAATCGATCATCTACCACGCCAAAGCTTACTACATAAGCGAAGCTCAGCCAACCGAAATGTAGGTGGTGGCGCGATTTTAAGCCACCGCGCCGCTATGGACCATTGAGAAGCCAGTTGTTTAAGTCTTCCAGTCTTTCAAAGACCCCCGATAACCCCCTAATCCTCTCTCTCACCCACTGCTCTCCTGACCGGTGTCCCCGTGCCTCACGCAGCACGGGATCACGTAACGGTACGTGGCCGGCTCGTACGTCCTCAGAAGCACCTGCTGTGCCTCCCGGTACAGATCGCTGCCCGGGTGGATGGTGGAGGGCTCCGGACACAGGATCATCTGAGGCCTCTCCGCTGACTTCTTACGACCCTTCTTCTTGTTCTGTGGAGAGTATACGACACGCATGCAACGTGAAAGGAAGCAAAAAAAAAAAAAATGAGCGTAAAAAAACATCAACGGACAACTAGGTGCGCTTTGACGTCCCTCATCATCCGTGTTGTATGTCATCGCAAATGTCATATCATGCTTGGTCAAAATAAAAATAAAAATAAAAACTGAAACTGACCAACATAGCCATTGAGCTACTGTTACTTCAAAGGCAGGAAACCATAAGAATCGTATAAGAGTTACACTAGAAAACTTGCACGCCATCGGGAGCTTATGATCAAAAGCCATTTCGCATATCGCATATTGCTCATAGCATATCGTTATGAGACGTTCTCAGATTGATGTTCCGTGCCGTGCCGTTTCGGACGCACCTTGTCACCTTTGGCGGACACCTCCGGCTCGGCGGCCCGCTCCATCTCCAGCTGTTCGTAGCGGAGGAGCGAGGCGGTGATACGAACCTCGGTCGGATCCAGGATGGGCGACACCGTCACCTCGACACGGCGACTCTGAGGAAACGCACGGGAACGGGAGGTGAATACCGACGCTAGAGTCGGAGCGGGTAGGCCCGCAACCGTGGGAAGCCCGCCAGCAAATACATCTGTCAGTGACGTGAAAAAAGGATGGTAATAAACATGGGAAATATTATTTAGGAAAAGTATCGTGGTTTTCGGATTTTCTGTTACCACATAGCGTGTCTTTTGCTAATGTCTAGTAGTGAAGCCTAGGATGTGTGTCCAAAAACAAACTTCCCGGTGCCGTGGTACATACAACCGCTAAAATTCCACGAACATGAATCAGTACCTCAAAGCTTCCACAAGATATTATCACCGAGTCTGAGAACTGGGTGAACTCAGTCACCCGGGACTTCTTTTGAGCGCCTTGCTCATCGCGGGGATTCCAAAAACCGACCACCAGCTTCTTCGAACCAGTACAAATCATCCCGAGCCCCACAAAGTTCCCCGAGGCGGCCGGTAAACCCACACCTCAGCCGCGCTCTACCTCTCCAGAGCAGCCAGCTTTTAGCAGCACGTCTGTCCCTGCACCGACAGAATAGTGGCGCCAAACCGGTTTCGCGCCATCTCCGCATCTGTGGGAGCCGTGCGGGGCTCAGAGCGGCGCGAGGCACAGCGCTACTGGGCGAGTAGTCGGCGGAGTGGCGGCGGGAGGGCAGTTTATAGGGTGCGCTGGGACGGTGGTCACTGCCACTTCTCCGCCCGGGCGCTGAAAGGAGCGTGTTGGGGAGAGGCGACGAGAGTGCTACGAGTTAATATGAAGGTGAGTGGGTAGGAGAGAAACATTGGGTACAGGTAGACGGCCGTGTGCTTGCATTTTTCTTTACTGGGAATCGATTGTTTATGCATGCGGTGCCTCCTGACTGATGCAACTTGCTCAGTGCTCACTATACTGGTTTTGAAGTCTGAAGGTGACGGTGAAGAGATCGAACAGTTGAAGTAGTCTAAGCATTGCAGGCACATGCAATGATTCGCTGAAAAATATTTAGGCGGAAACTGAGACCTTTTAAGAAAATTCCTACCATAATTTGAGCCTGTCACAAGAATCTCACCCCTCGACCCCACCCAGTCCCTTACGAGTATTTTCCTCTCAAGCGCTGCCCCGTAACAATGCACCACAATCAGCAGGCGGGCGACAAGAAAGACGCCAAATACGCTGGATACACTCAATTCGAGCAATGAGAGCTGATAGCTGACTATGGCAGATTTGCCGATCGTCAAGGTCAAAGAACGCATAATGTTGGACTGCTGAGATACCTATCTATGTATATGCCTCTAACCAACACGCTCCTGGTTTCAGCTCCCCTCGTCTTCACTGCTACTGTTGCTGCTCACAGCACTACCACCTTCCTCCACCGGCCAGTCCGCCCCACGGGTGGTGTGCTTCTACGAGAACTGGGCACGGTACCGTCCGCCGCTGGGCCGCTTCCTTCCCACCAACATCCCGCCGCACCTGTGCACCCATATCCACTATGTGGGAGCCGGGGTGCACGCCGAGACACTTCGGGTCGGACCGCTGGACGTGTTCGCTGATATTGTCACCGGCGGCTACCGGAGCACAGTGGAACTCCGCGAGCACAACCCCGATCTGAAGGTGCTCACGATGATCGGAGGCAGCGGACAGCAGCAGGATTCGCTCCGAGCCGCCGCCGCCACGGCTGAGAGCCGCAAACAGCTCGCAGAGGCGGCGGTGGAATTCCTCCGTGAACACGATTTCGACGGTCTGGATGTGGACTGGAAGCCGCCGCACGCGCCCGAGGACCACGCCGGTCTGTTGGAGGCACTGCGAGCGGCGTTTGACCGCGATACGACCTCCACGGGACGCCGGCGGCTGCTGCTGGCCGTCGAGCTGACTCCACATCCAGACGAGCTGCGGGAGCACTTTGACATGGAGCGAGTGACGGCTGCGGTGGACTACGCCAACGTTCTGGGTTACCGATACCAGGTGACTGAGCGGAGCGTCACCTCTCATCACGCGCCGCTGCGGACCCCACCCGGAGCGCCGGCCGACGCCGCCGGACGAGATATCCTGACCACCCTCGAGACGCTCAAACAGATGGGTGCAGACATGGCCAAACTGAACCTCGCCGTGCCAACGTTCGGGATGAGTTTCACCCTGGAGGATCCCCGGCTCGCCGGTCTGTACGCTAGCTCGTCCGGACCCGGTGCTGCCGGGCCCATCACTCGTGCCAAAGGATCTCTGGCTACGTACGAGATCTGCGACAAGACGGGTCGGAGGGGCTGGACGGCGGCGCGGCCGTTCCCTCAGGATGTGGGACCGTACGCCGCCGGTGAGGATCAGATTGTTGCCTTCGACGACGAGACGTCGCTTATGATGAAGGCTCGCATGGCTCGGGAGGCGGGTCTGGGCGGAGTCGCCGTCTGGACGGTCTCTCTGGACGACTTCCGCGGGTTCTGTACCGGAGAGCCGTTCCCCATGATCCGCGCTCTCAAGGCTGGGATGTTGGGTATCGACGAGTCCGGTCTGCCGACAACACCAGTGCCGCCTACCACTCCCGCCTACGACGCCAGCGATATCTTTGTGTGTCCGTCGGATGGGAAGCACGCGGCGTCCGACTGTGAGCACTTCTACCTCTGCAGCGGCGGGCAGCCGGAACTGTTCAGCTGCAAGGAGGGCGAAACTTACGACGAGGAGCTGCGGGCGTGCCGTCCCGGCGGCCGCTGCACGCCCCAGCCGGCCGCGCGGGTGGCAGGGTTCGGCCCGACCCCCACCCCCACCCAGTCCCCCGCCCCCTCCGCGGGGGGCAGAAGACGCCGGCCGCTGACACCGCGGCGGCGGGGCCCCTCAGCCGGCCCGATCAGCTTCTATACATTCGGGTAGTGTTCATCGGGATCGTAGTTAGTCGTGAGGCTGCTTTTAAAAACTCTATTACACGTATCAGCCATAGTTACATTAACGCGTAATCAGTCAGTGTGCAATGTGCATATGTTGAAACAATAACACGGTTTTTGCCAATCTTGCAATGTCTGTACTCTGTACTCAGCACTGTACATAGATATGCGTTATGCAATACATCACCGTGAAGAGATGATTGCGTTTTCAGCACATCCACCGTGTTGCCAGCTCGGTAACACAGAGGAGCACTAAAGCTTATTAAATCTAACCGCTATAACCAGGTGTGTGCGTAGATCGGCAAAATTTGGTCACTTCTCCGCTCTAAACGACTCAACTACGTCAACTAAAGGTGACTCGAATTACCCCAGACTTGACAAGCGTTTACTGAAGTTAGTCATTGTCCCACCCCCACCCAGATACGGTAACCAAACCACGGCTGACCTGTTTGTAGGGTACGAACCCCACCATGGGGTGTATGGCCACCGGGATGCCATCTGGCGGCTGAAACTCGAAACTGCCGCCCATGGCGAAAAACTTCTCCTCAGCCAGCGGTACCTGGAGGGGAAGGACAGAAAAAGTTAAAGCTGGTGCTAAAAGCAAAGTGTTGAGCTAAAGCATCATGGACATTCCAATGAGCTCAGTGAAACCAATCGCAATCACAGAAAGCAAAATATCGAGTCGGTCGAGTGATGTCTACAAGCGACGCAGATTGCCACGGTAAACACGCACCTTAGGACACTGCACGTAAACGGCCGCCTTCTTCTCTCCCTGGACAGGCACGCCGCTCAGTTTGATACTGGTAGCGCTCAAAGAGAGGGGCGGGGTGGTGGCCAGGCCGTGACATGTGACAGTGGCTCTGGGAAGAGAGGGAGGAAGAGTTGGAGGAGGGGTAGGAAGAGAAAGGGACAGAGAAAGAGGAAGAGGCTGACAACTCGAAACACTTTGTACTTCACAAGCAGCGATCGACCATTCAACGAGCGCCAGCAAATAATGACATCCAAATATCCCTCCTACGAGCCTGACTTTCAATTCTATCTCAAACACCGTGGGGCAGTGACGAGTGATGCCTGTCAACTTCCTTTCCCCGCTCCTACCTGCCGCCATCCAGCGTCTCCACGACCAGTGAGAACTGGTGCTGACCGGACACGGACGGGGAGAAGATGACGTCCAGAGGCACCGTCTCCCCCGGCAGCAGCACCGCACCGCCGTTACCCGGCTGAACGGTCACACTCTGTGGAGGTAGAGGGTGTAAGGGTCAGAACAGGCGGTCATACAGACGGACTGGTGAGACAAACGCAGTGATATCATGCTCAGCAAGTAGTTCAGCGGATAGCTGGTGGAGCGATGTGGACATTTCTTGTTTTAACAAAACCATTATATAGCATAAACATTGAATTTAGCAGCGCAGCGATACGAGCCACTGTAAAAATGATCATGCAAATTTTCGAGTTTCATTAAGTTCCTGGGATTCAACCATCGCCCAATTGCATCACTTTTTAGCCTAGACGTCTAGGGTTTCACTTCTATTACACTGCCATCCCCCTCCCCCTTAGGTCTCTCGCCCTCTCGGTTCTCACATCCGGCAGTCCGGTGAAGTGGCACTGCTGCACCGTCAGGCCACCATTAGTCAGCTGCACTCTCCGACACGCCGACTCCAGTAGGGTGACCCTCCCAAACTCGACTCTCTCCGGCTTCAGCCACACGTGGTTACTGGAGACAGCTGCCTGCACGGAGCCCACGATCGGGGCGCCTCGCGCGCCGCCCAGAGAGGCGCCCAGTGAACCGGCGTCCACGTGGAAGGACACTGGGAAGTCGAGAATGTGTGTGGCGGGGTCGAAGAACCGGTGTGGAGGGCTGAGCAGCGAACGTCTGAAAGAGGGGAGTAGAGGTTAGACGGGGAAATTTGGGACAGCTGAGGACAATATGGCTATACTAGCAAAAGTCCATCACTATCCGTTGGTGTATCAATCGACAAAAGTCGATAAGCTAATATGCGGCTCATCGGGTTTGTTAATGAGTTATTTATTCGGTAACTTCCAAAGTGCGTGCCATGCTTATTGCTTAGCAGCTGCCGCTCTTACTGCGAACAAAGGCACTTACTTTGGTTTGAAGAAAATCTTGACCTTGAACGAGTTGTCGGCCTGAACCAGCGCCGGGGATCCCTGGATGTCCACGAACGGCTTCATATCATCGGGCACAACAGTTCGCACACGGCTGAAATCGAAGTGACAGTAGTCAGATCATTCAACATGCCCATTGCCCAGCCATAGTCACAGTTTTATCTAGCTCAAATAAGACACTAGAATAAGAATGAGACTAGAAACGCCCTCACTTAAAACCCTGCCAGTACCACGACAAAAATCCAACTGGGCAAACTTAAGCGTAACCACTCCCAACATCACTGCATAAGCACAGAACATTATTTACAACGGAGATATGCACTTCATACATTCACGCACGTTCCTCACGTTCAATCGAGCCGCACACACCTGGCGACTTTACCGGTGTTGACGATCTCGAAGGTGTCCCAGTAGGTGAGCCCGCACAGACAAATGTCCAGCGAGAGGTGCGGGTTACGCACGGAGATCGGGAACTCGTGACCGGAGTAGGACGCCGTCAGCGTAAACTGAGGATGGGGAGAGGAGTGTGAGGATAGATATGGGACAGAAGATAGGGCAGAGTCGGCGCTTATTAGCAGTGAGCATACTTTTACCCAGCTACGCTTCACAAATCAGCAAAAAAAAAAACGCATAGCTACGAGGATGAATGAATGCTACTTTTTTCGTAAAGAAAATGTCGTTTCCGTGTGTACCCACGGCTGCATCGTGGCTGTATGTTCTGTATCATAGCCGACACCCAAAATAGCCAATAATGCATCAATAAAAATCAGCACCACTCTCACTTCCCGTATCCTAACCCCTCCCAGCTGACACCCACTCACCAGTTTACCACCAACCCACATCCTCACCGGTTCACAGTTGGGATCGTCAAACTCGACGACGAACTGCTGTCTCCAGGCGCCCTCCAGGTCGGCCACACAGCCCAGGTGAAGTCGCGCTCTGCCGCCGGCCGGCAGCTCGCCCTCGCCGCTGCCGCACACCCCCAGTCCCCCGTCGAAGTCGATGATGGGCAGCCGGTCGAACAGCTGATCCAGGATTGATGAGACGATGTCAGTGGCCGTTTTGGCGGAGGTGGGTTGTTGTTCGGTGCTGGTGGTGACTGCGGGTTCTGGGGAGGTGGTGGACGCGGCGGGACCAGCTGATGATGACGCCCCAGAGTTCCCTGCAGAGCCCGAAGCGAGAGCTGGCGAGGCTGTGGTCGCAGGGGCGGGTGAGTCGTTGGTCGCAGGAGCGGGGGAGGAGGTTGGGGACGTCGAGACCACCGCCGCTCCGTCGGGAGAGCTGGAAATCGGTACCACGGCTCCCACCGACCCTGCTGTACCTCCGCGCGGAGCGATAGTGATTGCCACAGCTCCGACCGACCCGGCAGTCCCGCCTCGCGGCGCCCTGCCCGGCCTGTCCACAGCGACTGCCGAGTGCTCCGCGGCCGCAGAGGTGACCTGCCTCTGGCTCTCTGTCCGTTCCTCCTCCGCACTCCCCGTGGGGGTCGGTACCAGGGGCCTCACGGTGAACCGACACCCCTTACTACCAGTGTTCCTCAGCACCACACTGCGCTTCACTCGCGTCCCCAGCACCAGATCCCCAAACTCCACCGCTCTCCGGTCTAGTCTCGGCTCTGCTCGCTGAGCCACGAACCTCACAGGCACCTGGAACTCCCCATTTGGCGCCTGGAATCGTACCAGACACTCTCCGTCTCCGAGCATACGCGGTGTGAACTCGAGCTCGAGTTTCGCCGCCAGCCCGGTTCCCAGGAAGCCCGGCGGCTGGAAATGAACGCGCAGACTCTCGGCCAGCGGCTGCTCCAGCTGGTAGTAGTTGTGCTCGAACAGGCCGATGTAGCGACAGCTGGAGCGGGTCCGGGACAGGTTCACGATCGAGACACGCCGGTAGTACGTCCAGCCCACCTGGAAGTCCTGTGGGAAGGAGAGAACAATATTTAGACCATTGTCAAGGGACAACATGAGTACTTATACATTTCCTCGGTGTGGGAGGGCAGCGAAACGATCATATCATTTTGCAAAACTTGAAACATGATTTGAACAAGAACCTAGCCCAGCCTAGCATAAACTCTTTTTTGGAGGTTCGACAGTACGAAAGTAGCAACTCCTTTCATTTCTCACACCATATTGGTCAACATATATCTTCCAGTCTAAATATACGTTAACCTTATGAACAGTTCGAATAGACTCCCATGTTCTTCCTGCCACCTCACAACCCACCTTGAACTCGATGACGTCCGGTTTCCAGCTGAACGGACACGGGTCGCTGGTGACCGGCGGCCTCTCCACCGGCATATCGGGCCGCCTCTTCATCCACTGGCGTCCCACACTGCCCAGCGAGCCGCCCAGGGAGCCCTCGTCACCCAGATCGTCACCCTCGTCATCCCCGCCCCCTCCCTTGGCCGACGTCTCCAGCAGGTGCTGCAGCCTCTCCAGATCTCCAGAGGAGAGTCTGGAGGCCCGCGCTCTACCGTGGGCGTCCGAGGTGGGCCCGCGAGGCGGAGTTGACGATCCAGAAGAGTCCGGAGAGGACAGCGTGTGCATGTCCTCATGCTGACCGGCCGAGTCAGTCAGACCATCAGCTGAGGCCGAGTCAGTCGGGCGCGCTATCGCCGAGACGGTAGTCTCCGCACTCCGGCCAGCCTCCTCGCCTGCTCCACCGCTATCCGGACTGGCTGACTGTTCTATACCTGTGGTAGAGTCCGGCAGCTGCCCTGACTCTGCGGTCAGCGGCGGCAGGCTGCGGGGCCGGGTGGAGCGGCCCGGCCGGCGGGGTCGGAGCGGCGCCGGCGGCGGCCGCGGTGACTGCAGCCGGCGCCGCTCCTCCTGTACCAGCCGTGCGACGATGCGCCGCGTGTTGTCCCGCTGACGAGCGGCGGTGTCGACACGACACTGCTCGGCGGCCGCCCGAGTGGCACGGCGCTGCTCCAGGTGCGCCTGGGGAGGGGACGGGGTTGGTGAGTGCTGAGAGGGAGAGAAGATTAGGGAGACATCCGAGCGATCAAAGGGGAACAGTAAGATCAAGAGGGAAATGCAGGATGAAAAGAAGAAGCGGAAACGTTTACAGCCATCATTTGGGAGAACAAAAAAAAAAAAAACAATAAAACTGATCTTATTGCTAACTTTTTATTGCCTATCAATGATGCACGCGTCCTAAGTACTGAAAAGAAGTTCAATTACTTTTCAAACAAACAGGCTGATGTCCGGTCCGGTAACACTACCGACTCGTCCATTCCCCCAGACACTAGCACAATTGAAGTGGAAGGTCAACGGCCATCGGTCGGCACTTTTCCCGTCGGCCGCGACAGGCCAACAACAGTCGCTCGATCGATACCTACGCCACGAAAATGGGTCACGGCGACCGAACGTGACTGAAATGTCACGAAAACAACGTCTCAAGGACCGGCCCTGCCACGTTAGCCCTTAGCTTCACTCTGAACCATTCTGAGCGTCTCTCCGCCGCCGGTCACTGCCAAACAGCCTGCCTCCGGCACCGGTCACCGCCGGGGTCTGCCGCAGCTCACTCCGTCCTCCCTCACCATGGCTGTGTACCGACATCTTCTGCGGCTGCTAGTGCTTCTATTCGTCTGGCACATGGAGGTTCTCAGCGGCCAGATGAGAAAACCGTGGTGCTACGACCAAATGGACCCGGGCCCCGGGAACCGGAGCATCTCTCGCTGGTACTTTAACGCCGAATTCGGAGCGTGTACAACCTTCAGCTGGAGTGGGGAGCACAGCTTCGCCACCATCGTCAACGAGACGAACAACTTCGCCAGCATCACTCTCTGTCAGAAGGACTGTGAGCCGTTCTGAACGACCGGCACTGGCGGCGAACGAAAGGAGACCAGCGTACTTCACTTGGAAGCGTCTTCAGGTGACACAATGTGTCGCTATGCGTGCCCGCACATATGTGAATACATGCGCGTGTTCGCACATAGAACGTGTGAGGAAATCAACGCTGATAGCGACTTAATGTCAGCAATCTTTTGCAATAATAGTTAAAATCATGATATATAATGAACGTAACCGGAAAAAATCGATTTAAGTTAAATACATTATCGTCTCCTCGACACCACTGCCATTGTCGATATACTTCAAGATAATGAGGAACTGCAGCCGTGTGTATACCAATACAACATACTAAGCGTGTGCCTTTTCATCGTGAGTCTGTGGCGCAACAAGAACCAACGCCATTCAACCCAAATTCAACCTCCCGTTCCGCACTGACCTGTAGTTTCTGCGTGCCGCTGGAGAGGGCGCTGTGCTCGCCGGCAGCCTCCCCCGGTGCGCGGGCGGGCAGCTGCTGTTGCACCCGGAGCACCTCTCGCGTGTACTCCAACTGACGCGCGAACTGACGCACCGCGTCAGACCGACGCTGGCGCTGACGCTCCGACGCCAGCAGCTGGGAATGAACACAAAATGGGCGGTTATCGTACTGAGATACTGAGCCATGCAAAGATTGGTACGAAGAGCGACTAGGAGAATTAAGGGGTAGCGGTACGAAAGATCGACTTAAGCTATGACTTAAGCTATCGCGCATATTAATTTCAGAACGACAAAAAGAATACCTGCATTTAAAATGCATCGAGAGAGGTATTTTATAAGAGTATGAACAAAAAGATAGCTCAGTAACCGGACTGCAATGTCCGTTAAAACGTGTGAATCCACTGACGGTCCACGATCCATTACCTGTTGTTTGTGCTGTTTATGCAGGGTTTTCAGCGTGTTTGAGACATGCACGTCCATACGCGCGGCTGCGTCCTCAGCCTGCCGCCTCAGCTGGTCCTCACGCGCCGCCATGGTGCGCAGGGTCCTCCGACTGCGCTCCTCCCGTCGGCGCACCTTGTCCTGGGCGTCAGCGGTCGGTCACGTTAGCGCAGTGCAGGACAGAGTCGGTAGCGCGTACAGAGCCACAGAACAGGCCGAAGAATCACGGCACAACGAATCACTTCTATTGACAGTATGACAGACAGTACGACGGTATGCGTAATCATAATGGGCAGTCCTACGCACATCCAAGACTGCAGTACGATCTACGACTATGCTGATTGCGAATCCTACAAACACCGTTCCATGCTTCTATCCTCAGGATACTGAAATCCTTCTCCTCCACGCCGCAACCCCCCTCCGGGCTGGACAGGCAACTTTATCTCATGCGGGCTGCTCCCTTGGAGCGGCACCGCTGCTCCCGAGGGAGCGCACCCCGTAGCCGGGTGCAGTGAGTGCCTTGGGGCTGGGTGGCCTGTCTTCTAGACGGGCTCAGCCCCGGCGACTCACTAGGGTGCCTGCCCAGACCAATGTCTTCCCCTAATTCCTACCATCCTTCCGGCTCTGAAATGGTCTAATTGGACCGAAAGGGCCTAACCCAACAAAACAAACAAACAAACAATCCTACAAACGTGCTGAGCTCACCTCATATATTTTGGCCAGTTTCTCCTCCCGCTGAATGTAGCAGCTCTTCTGCGCCTGTTTTCTCCGTTCAAAGTCCTTTTCCATCTCGTTTACGAAAAACTTTGTGCTGACCAGCTTTCCGTCGTCAAATGCGGCGGCCGCTGCGTACTTTCTGGCGATAAAGCGAGGGCACGTTATGTTAACCGATCCTAACTATCGGGTACTACTCAAGTAATTGAGACCTAAAAACTGGTAGTCATAACTGATAGCGTTAGAGAGCAATTATCGCGTTCCTTGCAGCAGTACAAACAGCGATTTATCGAGCGTATATTTGGTTTCGACCGCAGCACGGCGTCGTTAAATGAAACACCTTGCAATGCCGAATATGACACCGACCACCCGTTTACTGCTCACTCTAGCGTGACGAGCCGGTGCGTCAGCCAGTGCCGCCGATGCTGCTGCTGCGCCACGTTCGCCTCCAGGCCGGCCAGTCGGTCCCGCAGGTATCCGAGACTGGCGTGTCGGCCAGTGTGTGCCGCATGGCGCGCCTGTGCCGCCGCCTGCTCGCGTCGGCTGGAGAGGACCTGCAGCCGCTCCCGGCACTGCCACAGCTGCTGTCGAACCTAGGCATGGACAAAACATCACACAAGCCATCATCACAAACAAAAGGGCCGTCAAACATTGTGGACAGAACAAGCATGATACAAAGACCAAACAACAAGCATCATGTGTCGATGGACACTGTAGCCCACCCCAGCAGCTGAATGGGAGATTGCATTATCCATCCCTTGAGCAAACCAGGAGCCATCCGTCAAAACCATCCAAACATTTTTATGCAGGGCTGTACCACCTTTAAGGTTATGCACTCTGATGCCTTTATGTTGCATTGTGTGGACCACATAAGTCAGGCCCTCAGGGGACATTCTCCTTGCATACATTCTAGTAAATAAAAATGATCAATGCCTGACATCAGCATGATAGAGCAGAAAAACATGTATAAATCAGCCCATATGTTCCTAGAGCATACCTACAGACTTGGTTAAAAATCTGCATTGACCTACTCATGACCAAAATCCTAAATATTGATTGCAATCACTAACCTCATCCAAGAGTATGTTGTATCTCCCACATTCTGCATCAGAGGCATCAACTTGCTGCTTGGCTCTGACATAATGATGCTGCTCATCCAAGGTAATCAACCCTTTACTGCCACAGAGCAGTGTGCTGTCTTCATCTTCGTCAGCCATGATCGACTGCTAGTTGAGAAGAGTCTTCTTTTAGACAGGATCAGGTTGCATAATTTTCAACTGAAAAATAATGCACATGTTAATTATAAGCCAGTGTTATTAAAACATGAGAGGCTGTTGTTGTTGTTTTGGGTTAGGGTGCATAGCAGCTTGGCTCTTGCATCCAACATGAAAGGCTGGAATAAAACACTGACATCAACATCAAATATCTGATGACACTTACACCAGTTGAGATGTCTTTGAATTTTGAAAGCGATTATTAAGAGCTTGGGGTCATTTCCGTCTTTTGCACTCTTTTTTTGCACAGGGTGCAAAAGAGGGATTTGACTGGTGGTGTGCATGGTGCACCCAGTGGTTATTGAAACCCAGTATGAAGAGCATGGTCCAGTAAAAAATGGTCAAAAATGGCTCAGGTTAGCTTGGGTTAGGTTCAGGCCGGATTCGCCTTGGATTCGCCCAAAGGTAAAGAATCAAAATCATAATTTGGATCCGAGCCCTCCATTCAGTTCTGAAAAATAGATTTTTTTTTTGCTTTTTTTGCACAGGGCGCAAAAGAGGGATTTGACCGGTGGTGTGCATGATGCACCCAGTGGTTAATGAAACCCAGTATGAAGAGCATGGTCCAGTAAAAAATGGTCAAAAATGGCTCAGGTTAGCTTGGGTTAGGTTCAGGCCGGATTCGCCTTGGATTCGCCCAAAGGTAGGTAAAGAATCAAAATCATAATTTGGATCCGAGCCCACCATTCGGTTCTGAAAAATAGGCTTGCCCATGTTGAGAGTGCTATTTTTTTATTTAAGTGGGTGCCGTTAAATAAAATTCGACTAAAACAGTGATCCCACGGCTGTACTTCTCACGAAAAATCTCAAAATATCTCAAAAATCACATCTCAAGTTGAATTTTTGTTTACCTTTTTGCGCTTTTTCGCCATATTTTGTATTTACTGCGCCAGTCACGGTGACATATGTGGAAGTGTTGTCATAGCAACTTGGTTTTAGTACCTTTTTGTAATGAATGTTTATACTTTAACTATTTATATGACGCGTCGTATATATTTAAAATATCTTAGATCAAAATATTAAGAATCTGGCGAAAGAATCATGTACAAGATTGATAAAGATGTGCCTTTTTTACCTCTTGATAAACGCAATCAGCTGTTTGCCCCCGGGCTTTCGTGAGGTGTCAGTTTTGTTTCAGTTGTTGTCCGGCGGTCTTCGTGTCGTGTGGTGTCTGCTTCGTGCGTCTCTGAAATAGCGGGTAGGTCAATATGACTCGTTTTATGTGGCTACAAACGAAGTTTCAGTTAATGAGATGGTTTGGGGTTGAAACAATTATCGCTGAAAAGCTTAATGTTACTATAATTGGCGTGCAGTGCTATGAGTTTTGGCGCCGATCAAATGGTGCCTAGAAAATAATATGGAAAGTTATGTTTTTTATACAATTAGGTCAGGTTTATGTTCATGATTAATCATATGCAATGTAAAATGTCGTGCACCACAGTAGGTTCCTATCATTTTATCTCCTATGAATGAGTTGACTAACTTTCATTGCATGATGCAACTCACTGATATCAATAGTTTTGCCTTTGAGATTGATTTTCAAACAATTTTTATCTTCACATGATGTCCACTTTATATTGTTGACCTTCCTCCAATATAATTTGTCATTGAATGATTTTCCTTATTCAATGATTCATCTGCTTCAGTTTTTGGTTCAGTTACGACCTACGAGTTCATTTGATGCTTGACACCTCTGAAACTTCTGGCAGTCCAAGCTACTTTGGTTGACTTATGACAAAAGCCAACTGCTATGCTGTGAAAATTGAAGTTACCTACCTAGTCCCTAGTTATCAATATGGTCTCTTCCTAGAAGTTTGTTGAATGGCTATGAGGAAAGGGCCTCTCATTCATCCCTTGAATAATGAATTAAAATTAAGGATGTTCCTAGCTGTTAGTATTTTAGCATTTGTCAGTTAGCTTGATTTGTGATCAGACACTTTTTAAAGTTACATTTATCCGTACAGTTCAATGCCTACATTTCAATGTTAGCTTCCTAGATCAAGATCAGGGATATATCTTAATTCTAGTGAAAATTTGATGTGATGGTAAAAGTAATTTATAATAAACACCAATACTTTTTACTAACTTTTTAAATGACACACACACATATCTTGTCTCTGCTGATCTCTTCTAAGGCCATGATAGTGTATTGACACATTTTGATTTATTTCTCAGTTGTTCACCCTGGCTCATCCTGCTCTATTTCCCAGATGCACCAGCATGGCCGCACAGGGAGCTGATGGTGTAACACCGCCGGCGGGCGCGGCGGCGGCCGGCTCGGCGGTGGCGGCCGCGCTGCTGGAGCGCTCCCACCCACCGGCCGGACGCACCGTGTCCCACAACCCGACCTCGCCGGAGCGGCGCGGCCACGTGCGGTCGGCCAGTCAGGGCACACAGCTGCCCGGACCGTCCATCCTCAAAGGGCCCGAGCGGGCGGGCACGGCACGCCGGGGCCACGCGCGTGCCTTCAGCCACGGCGGCGTGGGCCTGGAGGGCCTCGACGAGGTGACGCGCGCCGGCTCAAAGACCGAGTTCACCCTGCCGCCGGGCCATGAGGCGCGCGAGCGGAGCGGCCGCGGCTCGACGGCGCGCCAGCGGCACGGCTCCCGGCCTGATAGTCTGTTCCGCGGCCACTCGCGCCAGGCGAGCCGCTCAGAGAGTGTGTACACGCTGCGCCAGACCCAGCAGACCTCCTCCCTCTTCGACTGCCTCTGCTTCTGGCGCAAAAAGACGCTGGAGGAGGCGCGCGTGCGAGTCGTAGTGCCAAACCACACCGTGCCGCCGGACACTCCGGCCAAACAGCACCCGAACGCGGCGTTCGCCAACAACTACGTGCGGACTACCAAGTACACGGTGCTCTCATTTCTGCCAAAGAACCTGTTCGAGCAGTTTCACCGGTTCGCCAACCTGTACTTTTTGTTTATCGTGCTGTTGAACTGGGTGCCGGAGATATCGGCGTTTGGTCGCGAGGTGGCCATGCTGCCGCTAGTGTTTGTGATGGGTGTGACGGCCATTAAGGACCTGTTCGAGGACCGGCGCCGCTACCTGAGTGACCGCCGGGTCAACACGTCCACCTGCCGCGTCTACGACAGGTGAGTCCCGCCGGGGCAGATATTGTGCGCTGGGTGGGTGAACGCTGTGCAGTGTGCATGCAATACTTACAGGGCCGGGGAATGCTGAGAGATCCTACTGTCGTGTATTCCGCGTCTGGATGGCGATAGTGGTGACTAGCAGTCACGATTTCATCGGCAAAATGCGTGTTCATTTAGACATTCTTTCTAGACACTGATGGCCTCTCACTTGAAGCTTCTCGGTTTAAGGCAGCATTCATAACGTTTACATCATGACATCTGCAGCAATGACCATGAAGCTCGCATTATTTGTTGCTGGATCTTACGTTCACAACATTAGATAGCGGTACTGTGGGACTTTTCAGCGTTTTACCCGCTATGCAAATAACCTCATTGGGTGGCGTGATTTAAACACGGCGTAGCAGTGCCTACGGTCAGGTCATCCAGGAATATATAGCGCACGTTCTGATGAAAACACCGCGACTCTCGTTTGCATGCCTACACTACCGCCTTCGCAGAATTTACTGCGCTGCTTTTCTAAACTTTGATCGCAGCTAAGTGGTGCTCTCTTATCCTCAGTATCGATATCTGACCATTATCAAGTCAGGCTCTACACATATTCTGCTGGCTTGCGTTCTCAGATGCCCCCTCCTGACATGGATGATAACATTCGCCAGTACACGGCCGTGAATATGACCCACGGCTGATGAGTCAGCTCTCTTCTGCTGCTGCACTGTGCCGCGTCTGTCCGTGAGTCTGACGTCGGTCACTCGCCGTCTCTGACTCACCGCACCTGACATTTGATCAGACTCTGTGCGCTGATTAGTGATTGGGTCAGCTGGGCAGCTCACGGCCCAGTGACTACGGTACTCTGAGGCTTGAGGGCCGCTGCCTGCTACCATCCGCCTCCCGCTGAGCGGTTGGTTAGCGGGGTCACCAGGCTGGGGTGGCCGGTGGGCGACCCCGGCAATCGCCATGCGGCCATACCGAGCTGGGTTGTGGGGTCACCAGGCTGGGTCCGGCGACCTCGACGCGTGACCTCTCCGCCGGTCGTCCTGATGGGCCAGTGGACCCCACTTGGCGAACTCTGATCTGAGATATAGGGGCGTTGAACTATGATCTTAAAGGCATTTGCTTAGATGTTCCGCTTTTTGCAAAGTGACCTTTGTAGCACATCTACAGACTGCCGGGGCAGGGATGGGTGGGTGTCTCAGGGCCGACCGACAGGGATGGGTGTCGCAGTATCATTGTGTATGACGGCTGTAGGTAGCTATTTGGCAACATTTGAGAAGCCACAGGGGTGAACAAAATTGCGGACGAGCCAAACTCAGGGCTAGTAGATAGCAGCCTTGGAGACTCTCCTAAGTGATGATTCCAAACGGTGAGTTTTTGGCTCTCAGCTGTGGATAATAGTGGCATAGCCACGCAGATACAGGCACACGCTTCCGCTGGTTGACGGAACTGTCTCGCCGGTTGTGACGGGGGCAAGGACAGCGGTCCTGTAACTTCCTAAATCCTGGTATAGGCGAGGGCGACCTGTCAGCTAGCGAGCTCTGCCGGTCAGCCAGCATGCTCCGCCGGCCAGGTAGCAGCCACGGTCGGTCGGCCGGCACAGTCCACCGGTCCAACTGTGACGGACGTCTGAGGTCGGCGTTACGACCGAGCCACCCCCGCGGCAGTCGCCTCCCACCGCTCGTGCTCGTCAAACGGTCGCGGCGGGCGCTGGGAACGACCACCTGCTGGCGTCATCAGCTCTCCGACGTCAGCGGTGATGACGTCGAATGATGTGGACGGACGTCATCAGCGGCCAGCCGGCGGTGGCGGCGCGGCGACTAGGGTCGTGAACTGTCGAGACGGCTCACCCTCGCTCTCATGGAACGTGGGTGCTAGGATTGGGTAACTGAAACAAAAGGCAGTTAAAAACTTTTTATGGTTTTATTCTACTAAATTTATCAGTGATGCAAGGTGGGATGATGAAGATCGTACTAAAGGATTTACTTTTTTTAATGTAAAGGCAACGATACCTCTGGTGTTGCGCCTGTTCGCCTTTAAATAACAAAGAAAAACTGAGACAGCTATGGTAAGAAGCGCAGACTAGGGAGCACGTTGAGCGCTACGGTAGAGTAATGGACTGGTGGCATGCCTGACTCAGTTAGGGGTCGCATTAGGTAGGCTGTTTTCTGAATGGTGATTGCGATAGGGGCTCTGGTTGCGGAGACATGCAAAGTAGTCATCATGCGAGCACTGCACTCTGTTCTGTTTTGTTTGTGATTGGTTAATTGTTAGCCAACCATTCATCCGTTGAGGGTTCATGACCGCGTACAAAACATGAATAAAAGAAAGGTTAGGTAAGTACCGGAAAATACTGCAAGCTTTGCAAAAGAGCGAGCTTAATCGCACTTCAGCAGCGATAACGACATTACAAATGAATGTTGAAACGCGTCGCATTTTATCCGGACGCCGGCAATCTAAATTTGAACTAAAAAATGTTTTGATAATAGATGAAATTGAGCCAGTTGCGTTGTGCAATGTACGTGGTGCATTGTGCAAGCAGAAGATGCCTGATAGAAAGACGTTATGGACTCTGTACTGTGCAATGTATTGATCCACGTAAAGCAATAAAGCAATTGCGCCGTAACGGATGTAATGCAACTGTGGTATCATTTCACTCAGCGCCCATTGTGTTCCGTGCATTGTGATCAGCGGTGCGCATCCGAATTTAACCACCAAAGTCATCTGCTTCCGACCACCATCTAGAGGATGGTGAGAGTCTGATATGACGTCGGCGCTCATTTCTACGTGTCGTTACTACATTGGTATGGGGCGAAACTCGTTATGCTGGCCAATGCTAGTAAAAACATCGACTGTGTTCGTATCTCGATCGATGATTCATGTGCCAGCCCTCCGACCGAGACTGTGATATGATATAAATGGGAATATAATAAGACTGTGATATATTTAACAAAGATGGTATTGTTGGTAACGACCGAGCGGTCACTTTATGAAGAGGATTGTAAGGTTATAATAATTTATTAAATGTATTCTGCAGGCGGCGCATTTCTGAGTTCCCTGCGTGGGCGTCACTTGCAGGCATCATCTCTCAGTCCTCGAGTTTCACCACATACCAATGTAGTAGCAACATGTTTGAAGCCTCATGTCGGCCTTATCTATTAGCCTGGAGGACGCCGGACGCGAGACCGAGCTAAAAATACCTGGGGCTCGTCTCCGTTCGAGGACCTGCAAGTGCACTGGGGCTGGCCAGTGGTCAGTATCCGATGCATGCCATTGCCATAGATGCATGCATGCCTGTATCCTTATGTGTAGCAGAATCAACATACGTGAAGTGAAGTAGATGGCAAACTTCATGCGGTACCCATACATTCAAGCCAAGGGCAACCTGAGTCGATATGATGCTTAAAGATATTTCTATTTGTAGCTATTCGCCTCCGCTTCTGAAGACATACAATGCCTCCGTGCCCCGTGGCATTTCGAGCGAGCGATGTGACAGGTGGCTAAATCGACACTGTTTGGATCTCCGCCACGGTGCTTTGATGCCCGTCGCTAGACCTTCAAAGCGGCAAGAGTATGCCAACGATCACTTGGTATAGACAAGCACAAGTTGACAGCATGAGACACGAACGAACGTGACTCCTCAGCTGATACGATTGTTGCAGGAATTAAGTGAGTTCGATGAGTTTCATTACCTTCCCGCCTATAGTAACAACTTGACTCATTGCACCAGTCGGTCTGCAGTCTGCGTCGACGGTGCAGCAGAAAAGTTAACTAGCGGCTGGTTAGGTCGGATTTCCCGTTGTGACTGAGCAACTCGTTACCTATCCTCGAGTATCGGGCGTGGTTCGCGGCTGTTTCCTCGTAGTTGGGCGCGATGGTTGCAGATAGATATTATGGTCGTGACCGTGCAGCCAACTCGTGCAGTGCCGTTCCAATATTTTCTGGTGTTGAGAGAGCTGAGGGGAGAGCTGTTTCGGCAAAACCAGAGGAGAAGAATGACTATGTTTTCGAATTCATGTTGGAACCAAGCCTAGATTGAGCTGGCAGGGGAAGAGCCATATGTGGAATGTGAGGATCGTTTGGGAGGAAAACATGATGAGGGAGTAGTGAGGAGCTCCTAAAGGTGGATGGTGGGAGGGAGAGCGCGGGAAGAATGATGAGTGAATAAGTGGCGTTCGCCATTGCTGTCGTGGGTATCCCATGGGAATTCTGCCTTAATGCCTTGTGTGTTCGTTCCCAAGGCCATTTTAATGACCTGGGACTTTAACTTTTAACGACGCTATCTCATCAGTTGCGCCGTGACTGGCCGCTTACCGGTGTGAGTCCGCTGAGACTGGGAGCGGTGCAAGTCAGTGCCAGCTGTTCTCTCAGCCACCGCTCGTATCACCTCCCAATACACAGCCTATAGATCCCCGGACCGGTACCGCACAGTGGCACCGGTAGCCAGAGCGCGGCATCCCCGGTCACGCTCGGTCGGGGTTCTGTGGTCTGGGACGTGACAGTGGCGGACGCTCCACTGGGCTGTGTGCTCTCTCGGCCGTCTGCTTCTGACCTGGTCTGGTGACCTGACGCTGTGATTAAGATTGTCTAGAGGCTGGTCAGGAAAGTGTACTACATTTGTATGTGTGGGGAAGATATCTTCTGACTCTCGACAGATATGCCCGCCTGTCTTGTCATAATGACCGACAAGACGGTCGCATGTCCTCATCTGTCGCGTGTGGGGTCTAGGACGCCGGTCACTGGGTAGTGGGTCATGGTCTCTGGCCAGGATGATCACCGCTTCTGACATTAACCCGCGCCCTGCTGGGGGGGGGTGTTTGAACACCCCCCCTTGTGGTTTTTCGCGAATATCTCAAAAACGGCGGCGCGGAGCGACGCCGTTTTTGGTACACCTTATCATACATCAATTCTACACATGTTGTGAAAATTTCAGACCAAGGTCATTCAAGGTCAGGTCACCAGGTCACTTGAAGTGACCTCACCTCATAAAAAGTTTCAATGTCTGTCAT